TACATATACATATACATATACACATCCATATATATATATACATACATACATACATACACATCATTGAAGCCAGAGCAGGGGAACGATGTGGCAGTGGAAGAACATGAACTGGCCTCGCAACCCCCTGCCGATGAGCCCTTGGCCAAGGAAGTTGCTGCGGGGCCACAGGGGTCGCAACCAATTGGTCTGCCTAATGCCGCCAACTACGACCACATCCAGCACGAGAAACAGTTGACAGATGAGGCGAAAGCAATCGTAACCAAGCTTCCACTCAAGACATGCAAAGGCTCCAGGAAATATGTGGTATATTACAGAAATGGATAGGGTTTGTCTACTTCCAAGAAGTGCTACAAGTCAAGTGGATTTGCGACAAGGGAAGGCTTGTCTCAAGCCGTGGCTGACTGGTGTGCAGACGGTGGCGATGCCTGGCACCTCAGAGTCAAGCTAGACTGACAACCTCGGTGCCATCAAAAAGCCTGAATGAATGCATCCTTCCGTGCATGTTGATTGTTCCCAAGTTCCCAAGCAGTTTGCCAGGCCGGTGAAGCTACGTGTGCGAACTGGGTGGATCGGTGCGACTTTGAATCAGCTCGTCTGCATTGTGACTTGGTGCGATTTTGAATCTCGTGTGCGTGTGTGTGTGTGTGTGTCTTGGCGCGACTTTAAAAAAGCTTGTGTGCAGTGCGACTTTGAAGTAGCTTTGTGTGAATCAGCTTGCGTGTGACTTGGCACGACTTGGAAGCAGCTTGTGTGCAGTGTGACTTGGTGCTACCTGGGATCAGCTTGTGTGTGCAAAGCAACTCGGTGCTGCAATATGTGTTTCTTCTTGTGTGTGCCGGTGTGCAGGTGCGACTGGAAAGTGTACATGTAAAGAAGAGGAGTGGTAATGTTTGTGCAAGAGTTTTCGGGTTTAGGGTCAAGACCCGAAAATCAGACTGTGTGCGGTGCGGCTTGAGGGTATGTGCAGTGGACCACAAGTGGGGGGTCGAGAACAATTGGGCCAAAGGCGAGAAGCCTATTTGCAGAGCAACTTGGTGCGATCTTCAAGCTTGTGTGTGGCTTGTTGGTACGGCTTTGAAGTAGCTGATGTGCAGTGCGAGTTGGTCGACCTTGAAGCTTGTGTGTGACTTGGTAGGATTTCGGAGTAGCTTATTGTATGCAGTGTGACTTGGTGCTACCTTGGATCAGCTTGTGTGCAATACGACTTGGAGGTGTGTGCAGTGCGACTTGCTTGAGTGATTCAGCTTATGTGTAATTCAAGGCCCCCAGGATGGGGGAGGAGGACTGTGGCCGAGCCCCAAAGTGGAGCTTTCACAAGAGAGCTGTGAGAAGAAATCGGCGATTTTTGAAAGGGTTCGAAGTGCAGGATGTAGTATCGATTTTGGGCTTCTGAAAACAGCACCTACTAAAATGCAAAAATTGTTATTCGGGTCAGAATGCCAAAGGCCACTTGCAAAATGTGGAATTTTGCATGGGGAAGGCCGAGAAGTGTCCCGGAAATGACGATGGACAGAGTGGGAGGAAAGGGGCGAGACAGGGGTCTGGAGGCTCAAAAAAAGGGGGTCTGAAGGGGAGGGGTGTCAAAGCTGAATTTCCATACAAAGAGCCAGAAGCGCCAAATTCGTATGAAAAAGTAAGCGACTTGCTAATGAAAAAACTGATGCCGAAAGTTTTTGGGCCCTGCCTATCGAAAACCGCCCAAAAGATGAGGCCCAAAAAATTCCAATTTTGGCACTTTTTCGAGATCCATCAGGGATTGGAAAAACCTTGAATTTTCGCATTCAAACATATAGGTTTTGCTAATGAACAAAATGGATGTGGCGCATTCCTATCAAAATCGGAAAAAACGCGATTTTGCCCGAAATGGATTAGGTACTTGTCTAAAAAAATAAAGAGAAAGCCGGCCTGTGGCCGGCCGGAGGCCGTTGTTTCTGTGCATGATTGAAAAAGCCATTGTATGTATGTGTGGAAAATTGAAAGTCTTTGCTATGTTCGCGAATTGTAAGGTCGGCATCCTGAAAGAGTTCGAGGTGTTCCGACCTTACTTCGGGATTCTGCTCAGACTCCCCAGCAGCCAGGCATTACTGGTATTTCGCCGCATGTTTTGCTTCCGATTCAGGGGGGAGCCCTCCGACTCGCAGAGCCAGTTTCTCGTGGAGGTTCTGATGCACGCGGCGGTTCCCTCAGCGCAGCAGGATCCTTCCGCGGAACATGCGCGAATGCTTCGGCTTCTTGCAGGCGGACATAAGCAATCCTTTCATGCCAGCTGACAAGTCCAAGAGGCCCGAGATGAAGCATGTGCTGCCATGCCAACTTCCGCAATGCCAATTGCAGGAGTCATTTTTGCCTGCGTCTGTTCAGCAGTAGTCCTATGCATAGCTCATTCGAGCGAGAAAAGCACGGAGAACGTGTCAAGGTGGCTACGACAGCTACATTCGTTCGAATGATGGCATATCTGAGATAATCTTTTGCAGCCGCTTTTATTGTGGCAGGTGGGCTGTATGCCTCAACGAGGAGTTCTCTCTTCAGGCTTACCGTCAAGATTAGCTGAGCTTGCAGCTTTGTGACACCTGCTGCAGGCTGAGAAGGAGGCGGAGCTCGGGTTACCGGTCAGAGACCAAGTTCAGCTTTGATAGGATAGGTTGCACAACACGACACCCAGAATCGTGGTGCCAAGCTACTGCTGCACAGTAGTAGCATGCTGCAAAGAGATCCGGCAGAGCTTCGTGGCCCAAAGCCCGAGAATGCGGAGCCAGTGACCGTCACGGAGTTTCGCTGAAGATCAAAGCATGAGGTGACCTCCTTCATGTCGGGGCTGCACGAGCCACAGGTGGCAGCAAAGTTTCTGGCTTAGTTGGCTGTGAAAGCATGGCCCACGAGTATATCTCAGGGTAGGACATGCCTGTCTCACACCCGTGGATGGCCACGTAGGTCGCTGTTGGGCTTCATTGATTTTGTGGTCACTCCCTTCACGAGCGGAGCTCTTATCCGCTCTTAGCGACCAGGGCGTGCTATGGTGCTGTATGCCGGCTTTTGGTGGACGATCTCCAAGGTTCTGTCTTCAGGCTGTTCCCCGACCTTGCAGAGCACCACGCTCGGGAGAAGCCTGAAAGTCGCACGGGCCCACGAGATTCATGGATGCGAGGCTGAAAAAGTTTCTGGACCAGAATCGGGAAGCGGCGGCGATCATAGTTGAGGAGGCCAGAGTTGCAGCCACCAGGCGAAGCGAAGCAGAGTGTCGCACAGCCGCCCTTGAGGCCACGAGTGCGAAAGGCTCTGATCGGCGGGCTGCCAAGAAGTCATGGCAGTCAGCTTTGACGAGGCCCCAAGCAGTGCCGGGCAGTTGTTAGGGCCTGGGTGTTGGCCGCGCATTATCTCGACACACTCATTGGATCGTGTTTGAGTAGAGCAGTTGCTCTTCGGAGGTTGCGCGGGACGAAAGACTCCACCGGCTCAACAAATCTTTGACAAAGAAGCTGGGCAGGAGCATCTTGAAAGGTGGGCAGTCCTCAAGAGGTTAGTTCCAGACGCCAAGGAAAGCTTACGACTTCTGAATTTGGCGAACGCGCCTCAATGAAATCGGCGGAATGCCGCTGCCGACTACACGGCTAGCACTTAGAAGTACTTTTCTCTGGTCCGCCAGCATGCGCACCAGGCGGTTAATGATGGCTGCTCGTTGGCAGTAGCGGACGACACATGGCACCTAAGGGAGCAGCAAAAAGTAAGAAGCAAGAAGGCCAAAGCTTCAAAGCTCCTTCCATGAGTTGCCCATTGATGCCCTTTGGTGTTGTGTCCGCCCCTCGCAGAATGGCCTGAATGCAGACTTCCACATCCCAGGATGGAGATTCAGCCCTTTGCACTAGTCTGCAGTCAGACGAAAGATCTAGAACGAGCAGCTACTGATGAGCAAGCTTTCTACTCCACATTTCATGAGCCCTTCATCTTCTCCTTACGATGTCAACGCAGCTGCTTTCCGCGGACCTTCTCAAAGAGAGGGCTCCGGCTTGCAATGAGCACCGCACATCTCACAAGGATCGAATAAACAACCTGTTTTTCTGGAGTCGCGGATGCTGACTCCGAGGAGCCGGTGCGCCGTGAACTCATGGAGTTTCTTGGCATGCGTTGTTGTTGGTTCAATGATGCAGCTGGTACTCCCACAAGCGGGGCTTGTGTCCATGGCGAAGGCGGTTTGAGGGTAGGCAATCTGATGCATTTAGACTTCCGAAAGGCCTCACGAAAGACTTCTCTAATTACAGGCTACATAGCCTGTCGGTCTTCTTTTAGGAAGGAGGCAGGAGTGTCGGGGTCATTCAAGGTTTAATCCTCCGGTTGCGCACGACTCGAGAACCTGCGATGTCCGAACCCCCCGAGCCGACGCCGCGGAGCCTGGCTGCGAGCGGCCCCTTAGAGGCGGTTTAGGGGTTTAGGGTTTATCGGGGTTT